CTTGTCAAGCATGCCTACACCATTTGCTCATGCTGCATGGTATTTTCTTTCCTCATGCGTGACTCTTGTCTTGTCCATTGCCTGCCATCGGAGCCCAGGAATGTTTGATTCACATCTATGGAGCAAAGAGGTCAACAAGGTCTGTACGTGAAACAATGAATTCCCATGGAGCAACACAAAGCATACTCGCTGAAGCCCGAGACTGGGATCGCGACTCCGGAGCTTGCGATAACGAAGCACCATCCTCTGGAGAATGACCTGCAAGCTCAAGACTCAACTGCTGCTTCTTCACCCTGACAAGACTCGTGTGACACTACCCTTACCACGACATGCCAAAGCAAGTACATCAGAAAAGCTCGGCACCATGATCACCTGTATGACATGCGCTGTGTATGATTCCGCTCTACAAAGCTGCCATCCTTTCCTCACAAAACGGGAATCACATCCCGGGCAGCTTCAGGTGACGCACGGACGGTTCCTACAATGTCACCTTCAATGGGCTTCAGGTGACACACGGACAGTTCCTACAGTGTCACTGTGAAACGCTTCTAAAGATTCTTGTCACGGAGCCACGCATCGATGTCCGTGGGAATGTTGTAAGTCGTGTTCGAATCTGCCCACCCCCGAGCATTTTTCCCGCACGACTCACAATTGACATCAAAGTCTGGCTGCGCCGCATAATATTTCAGGCACCTCAAACAATGAGCCTCAGCCGCAAAGAGAAATTTGTATTCCATCCGTCTCTCCTCGGTGATCGTCTTCTTTCTTTTCTTCGAGATACCATGTCCCAGAGGATAGTTCTCATCGAAGTCATTGCAATGTGGAGCGTCGCGACACAGTGTCGGACCTTCACTATCCGAGTCTTCATCGCTCGGAGACGGTGGTGCAAATCTCATTTTGCGCCAAAAGGTACCATCATCCATTTCCTCGCCGAGCCGGCCTTCACATAGCATTCTCCAAGCTTTCAAGTCCCGAAGAATGCACTTCAAGTTCGAAACAAATCGGAGTGAATGACCACGCGATTCGAGATTCCCAAGCTCATTCTGCAAATAGGGCAACGAAACTTCCTTGCATGTCTTGTCGTTGCATCCCAAATTGAAAAGCAAATTTCTGAATCTTGAGATCAACATGTGCTGTCTGTCCCGAATATCACACAACTTCCAATCTTCAAACTCCAGCAATAATCCTTTCAGTTCACGCAAATGTTCTTCTTCACTCTCGTCCCTCGGAGGCTGCGGATAAGAGGCCATGACATCTCGGGCAGCTTTCTCGACAACTTCCAAGGACACGTCCTCTATATCGAGCACCACCCCAAGCTCCAACAGCAAATTCTGATACTTCAAAAGCAGGAACTCGATAATTTTTTGTTGATCTTGGACGTTAACACTGGGGTTCGACATGTCGCGAACCGAGTTTTTCTACAATGTTACACTACACCACCACACACCCCGAACAACGTCTACCAATTTGAATATATATTTTTATATTGTTCACTGTTCATGCGTTTCAACAAAATTGAACGGTATAAAATTGAACGGTACAATGCTTCCCGTAATATTTTTTTCTCCACTGCTGATGCATTTCAATGAAAAACAAAAACATCACTTTTTTTTTTTCGTGCTATACATCACATAGATCCACTGCATCGTAAACAAACACTGATATTACCACTTGCAATTCTCGGGATCTCACGGACAGCCCCTACAGAAACCTCGAGAAGAGCAAGAAATGTTCAAGATATCTGTTTGCCAACCGTGTTTCCTGCCATGCATCTTGTTTCTCCGTTCACGTCTGAGCCCAGGAAAGTGGTAAGGAGGCAAAGAGCAGCTTGTTTCGTCTTGCATCATCGTAGACAAACTATGCTTGTTTCGTCTTGTTCAAGAGAAACTGAGAACACAATCCAATGCAAAGAATTCGTTCTCCGACTTCAAAACTCAGAGCACAATTGCTAAGTTTGACACTGGGCATGGACACCATTGTCGCAGAGACCTGCAAACTGCTGAACAGTGAAGCTGGCGATGAACACATCAAATCAACACACTTCAAAAAAATCGGTTACCGTGACTCGCCGAATCAAACCACATGTTGTGCAATGAAAATGACCTGATGCTGGTGAAATCTCAGAACAAATCATAACAGTGCATCTCAATGCATGACATCACTGCATGGATGACGGTCAACCGCGAGTGTACTTTTCAAAACGGCACTTCCGCTAACCACCACGCATCACGAACAGTCTCTTTAAATGCGGGTGGAATGTTTGCTCTCAAAACAAACTATACACACATTCTCACAAGTTGAACTTTTTCAAAATGGCACTTATGTTACCCACCACGCATCACGAACAGTCTCTTTAGATGCGAGTGGAATGTTGGCCATCGAAGCAAACTATATACACATTATCACAAGTTGTGGCGTTGCAGCCATCGTTCCACATCATCTGGGATAGGTACCGTGGTACGCTTTCTGCTACCCGTGGAACTGGCAGCCCATTGGCGAGCATTCATGTTGCAAGATTTACAGGTCACATCAAGACCGGGCTGCCTCGCGTAGTAATCCATGCACTGAACGCATTTTCCATGTGCGGAATACAAAAACTTGTATTCGAGCAATTTTTGAGCAGGAACGGCACCATGCCTAGTATCAAAATCAACACAGTGAGGCGTACCAGTGCAAGGCTCCGAAGCCTTGGTCGAATCCGACTGCGAAGTGCCAGCATCACCTTCTGGATCCTTGCCCGCTGAAGCACTGGGCATACCACCATCCGAACTAGTAGCACCGGTACCCGTTCCTGCCTGTGCAGACTGCGCGCCAGGCTGTTGCGAACCACTTGGAACGCCATCTCCTGATTCAGACTCCTGATGCCCTGCACCTCTGCGTCTCCACTGCCGAACCAACAAAGGAGGAACACGCCAGGGCTCTTCCCACATCCCAGGATGAGCATTCAGCGCAGCTTGAGTTCGCGCCGGGACGACGTCTACACCAGCTGCTTTGAACTGTCGCGGAACACTACGCATCAGTCTCTCCCAGGCCACATTCCAGCGTTTCATTTGAGCCTCCGCCATCATCCTTCTCTCATCGTCTTGCTTGTCCGGATGCAGTGCCAATGCAACTTGCTTCCGCCGCGGCTTCAAAATGTATCGGAACTCATCCTCCGACATGTCCACAATATGGGATCGCTTGCAGCCCAGAACTTCCAACACCCAGGCCACTTCCTCATCCTCCGGCGGTCTCCACGCGGCCATTGAGTCGCGGCCGAGACAAAATTAAATACGCAATGATTGCCGTACTTTTTTTCCACTGTTGCTGCATTGAAATGAATGAAAACATCACATATATTTTTTTGTGCTATATATCACATAGATCCACGGCATCGTAACCAAAACCTGACATCATCACAATGCAATTCCCGAGATCTCACGGACAGCCCCTACAGAAACCTCGAGAAGTGCAACAAATGTCCAAGATATAAAATGGCCGATCGTCAAAATTGAACGGTACGATGATTCCCATATAATTTGTTTTGTTCACTGTTCATGCGTTTTGACAAAATTGAACGGTACAACATTGAACGCTACAATGCTTCCCGTAATATGTTTTTTTTGTCCACTACTCATGCATTTCAATGAAAACATCACATATATTTTTCGTGTTATACATCACATAGATCCACTGCATCGTAATAAACAAACACTGACATTACCAAAATGCAATTCTCGAGATCTCACGGACAGCCCCTACAGAAACTTCGAGAAGTGCAAGAAATGTTAAAGATAACTGTTTGCCAACCGTCACTTGTTTCCTCCGTGCACAATGCATCTTGTCTTTCCGTTCACGTCTGAGCCCAGAAAAGAGGTAAAGAAGTAAAGAGGTGCACTATGCTTGTTCCGTGTTGCATCATCATGGACTTCGAAACTGAAAACAATTCATGAGTTTGACACTTGGCTACGCACTCGCACTTCGAAACTCGAAGCACAACTGCTAAGTTTGACACTGGACATGGGCACGATTGTCGCCGAGACCTGCAAACTGAACAGTGAAGCTTGCAATGAACACGTCAAAGCAACACATTTCAAAGAAATCTGGTACCGTGAATTCCCAACTAAAACCACATGTTGTTCATTTGAATAGACGATTTCCCACACAGTTTGCCAACAAAAACAAGCAAAAGCCGGTACCATGATGCTATAAACTACATCCGTCATCTTCATGAGTTCAAGGTAAGCGAGCATCACGCACATTCAAATCCCCTCAGCAGCATAGAAGACTCTGCAGAATGCCAAGTCCTTCAAAAGACAAACTGTGACAAAAAACATTAACAACAGACATGGCAACGAAAGACGCACATGCAATTTGTAAGTAAAAACTTCAAGTGTGACACCTGTTGATCAAGCCTAATGGAAGATGTCACTTTCCCAATCGCATCAGATGATAAACAACCTATATACTGTCCCGCGCATCAATTCGCAGAACTCTGTGTTTCTCTCGCATGACGTCCAGGATTGTCCACATCGCCAACAACAGTTCCACATGTTGTTAACAGATGGTGAAAAACAAATGGCCTCACAGAGACCCGTGAAGCAGAGGGATACATGCACGGACAAATCCTACAGCACGTTGTCTCTCCACATCACTGCATGGCAAAAAAAAAACAAATGGGCTCACAGAGGCCCGAGAAGCAGAAGGATACATGCACGGACAGACCCTACAGCACGTTGTCCCTCCACATCACTGGATGGCATACGCAGTCGGCATCACTGTATAATACAATGTGCCGTCCGGCCCCACTTTCTCCGCAGACAACTTGTCGAACAATCGAAAGTATCCCGGAAAGTTCTCGAATTGCCACAGTTTGCCCTCAGCCTTAGACGACAACATCCGAAAATGCACAAAACTGAAAAACAATCATGAAACATCAAAGAACACAAAAAGCTACAATCACAAACATGACACGGCAAATAACAAACACGAACAAACACCCAACCCAAAAGCAGCAAATGCTAAGAGACCACCAAATTCAACACACCCACGGGTGTGAAGACAATTTCGTGTGCTTCCAACTCCTTGGCAGAAGCACCCGCTGGATCACTTTGCTGTGCTCGCAGAATGGCCTGCATTCACATGCCCAAGGAACACTATCAAACATGACGTACAATTGAAAATGGACCACGTTGTGAACTACATGTCCGCACCTCCGTCGCCGACGGCTTCAAGCCCCAACGACCGCCCCAATGTGGCTCGATCTCCACACGTTCCTCGAAAAGGCTCACCGCATCGGCAGCGCTCAGACCTACCCACGTCCGCAGTTCTGATAAGACCATTGCGAGTGACGAAGTCTCACGGACAAGCCCTACAAAAACCTCGAGAACAGTTTCTTGAGCCCCGGGGGGCAGCAATGTTTTCAAGGTTGAAACTCAAAAAATGCCAAGAATTCGATCGGCCCGACTGTTCTTTCAATCGAAATGATGACATTTTGACACTAACAGCACACAGTTGCTTCAAATTCTGACGGTCCTTCACATGAAAAAAACCATGATCCCAGTGCCACCTCAGCATTTCGCGTCGATCTGAGAAAACAAACACATGTTCCAGACGGCACGGAAAGAGCATACTTCAAGGAGGCGAAATTTCAGCGTCACGAAACCTTCAAGGTCCCGACTTAAAAATGGCGGCAGATCAAGATCGGCCCGCACAGGATCGAACCACGTTCAGAAATCTCAAAAAATCTCGAGAAATGCCAGAACCGTTGGGGTGTCTTGTCAAGCATGCCTACACTATTTGCTCATGCTGCATGGTATTTTGTTTCCCCATGCGTGACTCTTGTCTTGTCCATTTGCTCACATCTAAGACAAGGAATGATCAATTCACATCTATAGAGCAAAGAGGTCAACATGGTCTGAACGTGAAACAGTGAATTAGCATGGACCAACGCAAAACATACTCTGTGAAGCTCGAGACTGGGATCGCAACTCCTGAGCTTGCGATAAGAAGACACCATCCTCTGGAGAACGACCTGCAAGCTCAAAACTCAGCTGCTGCTTCCCGAACAACGTCTATCAAAGAATGGCAAACATGCAAACAATACACATGCTATATATAAATACATCAACCGCACTGCGAAACCAGCATCAGATCATTTTCATTGTCAAAAACCATGCGTTCCGATCATCACTTGTTTCACGAACATTCAGCGTACATATGGGAATAAGAATGTTCATTCTGTGCACAAAACAATCATCATGGACATGTCCACAAAAGAATTGATAACAAAACATTGAGTGCCAAACAGCAAGGAAGCAACACACCTGGAGCACATGAAAGTTCGGCATCACTAAACGTTAACCTTTTGACAACAGGACACAGCAAGTCGATCATACAACACAGCAAGGCGATAAACTTCACAGAAAAGTGTATTTCTCTTTTTCATCAAGGTAAATGTTCCGTGTAGAGATCCAGACTCCAACGACATGGCGGCACACTTGAAAAGAGAAAGGCTATGTCTCAAATTTCCAATGACTACATGTTGGAGAACATCATCGGGCAGTTTCAAATCTTGAGATCTCACGGACGGTCCCTTCAAAAATTTCGAAAAATGCCACAACTGTTGGGGGTGTCTTGTCAAGCATGCCTACACTGTTTGCTCATGCCGCATGGTATTTTGTTTCCCCATGCGTCACTCTTGTCTTGTCCATTTCCTGCCATCTGAGCCCCGGAATGTTTGATTCACATCTATGGAGCAAAGAGGTCAACAAGGTCTGCACGTGAAACAATGAATTCCCATGGAGCAACACAAAGCATGCTCGCTGAAGCTCGAGACTGGGATCGCGACTCCGAAGCTTGCGATAAGAAAGCACCATCCTCTGGCGAATGACCTACAAGCTCAAGACTCAACTGCTGCTTCACGAACAACGTCTATCAAAGAATGGCGAACATCCAAACAATACACATGCTATATATAAATACATCAACTGCACTGCGAAACCAGCATCAGGTCAGTTTCATTGTCAACACGACACAGCAAGTCGATCATCAGTCAACTTCACAGCGAAGTGCATTTCTCTTTTTCATCAAGGTAAATGCTGTGTGCAGAGATCGAGAGATGACAGTCAACGAACGTGCCGGCTCCAGTGTTAATCTAATGTCAGTTTTACGGGATGCCTTTGAAGTCAGGTAGATGTTTTACATGTTCTAACTCTAACTTCATGACGCAACGCCTGCTCCCCGCTCGGACAGTCCCTACTGCGAGAAACATACGTCAGGTCATGTTTTACATCTTCTAACTCTAATTTCATGATACAATGCCTGCTCCCCGCTCGGACAGTCCCTACCGCGAGAAACATACGTTGGGTCATGTTTTACATCTTCTAACTCTAATTTCATGACGCAACGCCTGCTCCCCGCTCGGACAGTCCCTACCGCGAGAAACATACGTCAGGTCGCAGTGTAGTATACCGTCGAAATAAGATGACCATGTCGAACAAAGACATCCGGTAAATCTAAACAACGCTACATGGCAGCTGACAAAGCTCCCCGCCAGCAATGCTAAGCAAAAAGATCAGCAGACATTTCATCTGCAGACAAATGCTGTGACACCCAAGGGATGCACTGCCATGAAAGTCTATGCACATACTTCAGCGCCTTCCGCTCGTCCACGCAGGCCTGACCTTCAAACTCCCGCATCCGCTGCACCAAAAGAGGATTGTGTTCGTGCAGAAACTTTTCGAACACATTGCGAGGCGGCAAATCCACTATCCACAGATCTTCCAGCTTGGTTGGCCTTGACAACATCACGTACATAGCCAAGCCATAGTCCGCTTGACTCATCCAGGACGGTTTGGACATGAAAGCAAGCAGCCCTTGTCTGGCAGTGATGCCCTGCAAACCGTAGTGCGTGAGAACGTGACGAGGTGCCAGTGGCAACTGTTTGCGATGAACCTGCATAAATTGATTGCCCCCAAGAGGAAGATCCCAGGCCTGATCACATGTAACGGGACGCAGCCAAACGTGTCCCTTCGGAGCACTGCCATCTGGCAATTCAATGGCACGATATTCCGGGTCATCGATCTCGACCAAGACGGCCAACGGCTGATATTGCAAAACGACACGTCCACTGCTGTTTGAAATTACAGGTTCCTTCGGGTGCAACTTAATGGAGCGAACAATGACCGGCAACTCTCGACTCAGCATCGGCATGTCCAAAATGCAACTAACACGTGCTGCCATCCCTTCATACAAAGGGCAAATGCCCATGAGATACTGCGTTCTTGTCATGTTCACAACCTGCAATGCCTTCAGGCTCTGCTCCCTTGTCAAATCTGTGGGCCCCGATGCACGATCAATAGCTTGCACCAAGAAAAGAGTCGTGGACCTCTGTTGAGCTTCCCAAGCCACCCGCAAATGCTGTAAACGAGCAACCTGTTCCCACGCCAGGCCGCCCCAGTGAGCACTCAACAACCTTGAGCGCAAGGAATTGTCAGAAAAAAGTTGCTCTCGGCTGATCACTCGAGATTCCAAAGCTCCCCACAATGCATCCTCCAGATGTTCGCCTCGCCGCATGGACAAAAGAATCCTCACAAGCTGCTGTCCGGATGCACACTTCGAAAAACGACCGGATCCAGTGAAGTGCACAACTCGCTGAAGCGATTGCTTGAACGCGATCCGTCCAAGTTCTGAGGCATTGCTGGTGCGTTCAGCCGCCTCCTTCTCCACGGCCTCTTCGGCATCGCTTTGGTCTTCTTGGTCTTGAGGCGGTGCAGGATCAGTAGCTCGTGGCGCATCCACCCATTCGCACAAGGATGCTTGCGCAGTGGGTCGCAATTGTAGAAAGTCAGCAACTTGCACACCAATGGGCACCTTCCCAAACCACTGCTTCAAGTAATCGCCCATGTCAAGCATAAGTCGAGCTTGTCGAACAGTGGCAAATCGAAGCGAAGCAGCATGGTACACATCCGAAGGAACCATCGACAACTCGTCCAACAGCATGGCCATGATGCCTTCGATCTTCTTTTCGATCGGGCTGCCCTTGCTCTTCGCCGAACGCAAGGAGCGGCGATCCAAGCTGCTGCTCTTGTGCACATTGGCCCACTTGTGCAAAGTTTTGGCCTCAGGCCCCAGGAGGCGAACAGCAGCGTGAGTCGGAGCACCAGCAACATAACCATCCTGTCCAAAGAAGCGTCGAAAGAGTGGCCTCAATACTTTGCTGTATGCATACGTCTTTCCAGATCCACCAGCTCCGAGCCAAAGACAATTGCACCTTTCATTGCACGCACCATCCGCAATGCAATTGTCCGGATTGCTTCGGTTAAGCCACATCTGTTCCATGACCCAAGCAATGGGCGCAATGGCCAAAATCTGTTGGCGATTCAGACTGTGCTCCACAAGCAAGGCAGAAGCATAATCACTCGGACCCACATTCCTCTGGTTCAGCTCCACCAAAAAGGCATCTTCCGTCTCTGGCAAAGGCCGAAAAACATGATCTGCCATCATCTCAGTATCCTCTTCACCACCTGCTGCATGAAGACCCACCAACGAGAACACAACAAGCAAACAAAATTCCCCCCCCCCCGAAAAAAAAACAACAGAACTGACATATTCAGCAAATCAGCTATATGTTACAACGACAAAAAAGAAAAACAAAACAAAACTCATCCACAACCACAAAGCTCCGCCTCCAACGCAAAATTCCAAATATTGCTTCTGCAGCATCAAAGACCTCTGGGCTTCGGCGAACGTCCAATTACGCTCCAATCCACTGGCTGCGTTGCCTTTGATTCCCAAATCAATCCTCGCATCCGGAACACCTCCCAAACCATTCACAAAGTCACGCAAACGCTGCAACGCATCCTGCAGCACCGCAGCTACATGATTGTTTGTCGGTAACATATGTTCTCGTCAACAAGGCCATATCACAAAAGCTCGGTACCACATACTGGTGATCATGGAACGTATCATATCCTTTTAGTAGACATTTTCCACACGGATGACTACTTACAGCTTGCTAGCATGATGCAGCAAACAACGCATGTTGCAACACAAGGCATATCATGCTTTATTCGGCACATCTCACACCCGCTGAAAGATGAATCATCAACAACGTTACACAACAACAGCTTAGTACCATGATGCTGCGAAAAACATATATCATCTCCTTTTATCAGGGAAATTCCCACGAACATCGCCCAAAAAGCTCGATACCATGTCCTGCAATACAGATGGCTTTCGATTGCCCAACACCTTCATCCAATCCTCTTCCCGAAACATAGCTTCGTGCAATGCTTCTCCATCCACCGGCCACTGCGCACGTTCCAAGTTGTCCAACTCT